GCCTCGAGTCAAATGAGCCATCCATCCTAGACTGGCGCTCCCGTTCGCCGTCACACAACCCAGCATTAACCCTACTTGCAAGAGCGATCCACGAAGACACTACCAAGCCACCTCGCCTCTGGCCATCCCGCAGTGGAAGACCGAGCCAGACATAGACAAGCGCACAGGAAGAACGTGGAGGGTAGAGGGAGGCTCGCAGCCAGTATCCTTGTATAAACAGAGCAAAAGAACGTCAGAGATGTAAGCCGTGGTTTAATCCTCCCGATAGTCAGAAAATTTGATTTAGTCGCCCAGTACATCGTCGTCGTCATTAGTAGCAGGCGGCTCCTCCACGTCAGGTTCCTCTTCTTCCTCCTCCTCGAGTAGCTCCCGCCGTCGTAGATCTTCTTTCGAGCCCTCTTCCGGCTCAGGCTCCTCGACTGCTTCTTCTTCATCTTCCTCTTCATCGTCATCGTCGACGACAATCTCTTCGCTAATGGCGGGCTTCGCAGCAGCGGACCTTGTCGATGCCGCCTTGGACTTCTGCAACTTCTTGCCGTACAGGTGATCCCGGACCTTTTTGGGATCAAGGTACGCCACCACCTCACTGAAGTTCTTGCCGAGCCTGCTCTGGTTTCGTAGAAGTCGCTTGTGAAGCTTGCCCGCGTGCGGCCCTGATTGATCAAGGACCTTCTGAGCAATAGCGAGGACGTACTTAGCCGCCAATTCACACAGGGCCTTTTCAGATTTGAGCTCTAGCGCCAGCTTCTCCTCTTGCGTTAGGCCTTCGTCTTCGTCCTCCTCTTCATCAGAGTCGTCGTCGTCCATTGGTTCTTCATCTTCGGCTGGCTCGTTGAGAATCTTCTTTGTCCGCTTCGCAAAGGTCTTCTCGACGCCGTCGTAGATTGAAATCAGCTCTGGCAGAAGCTTGGGCTCAAGCTCGTGAGCCAGCCTCGCAAGTTTCTTGTAGTTTGCGTTTCCGCGAGATTCTTCAGTCCAGTTTCTCAAGGAGCCGAAAAGCACGTGGATATCGCAGAGAGCGCCAGTGGCAAACATGCGGATATCATCGATGATAGCTCGGGACGACAGGGTTTTGATCAAACCGACGTCGTATCTTTTACGCAAGACAGAAACCTGATCCACCACAGAGTCGGGTATTTCGGTTTCACTTTGAATGAACTTCTGGAAGCTCCGCACCTTCCACATGAAGTAAAACTGAATACCTTTGATAGCAAAGGAGACAACTTCATCCTCCAAGTCGTCAATGTCTTCGGTCTGTTGATCAAACGTGCCTCGACTAACAATGTTCACCAGGAGCTCAATCGTGGATGACATTGAGTCGGCTGCGCGTCCTTCCGTTTCCAAGACCTCCATGCAGTCGGATATGCGAGCAAGCTCACTGATCTTCATCAGCACTGTGGAAAGCGCCTTCAGATGATCCTCTGCTAGATTGCCGCGCATAGATAGCTCGCAGGTCTTGTCGAAGCTGCGCAGGGTGTTGATGACATTCTCCCACAGAACCGCAAGCTTTCCGTCAGTCAGCTCCTCAAGCTCATCGTATTGGCGAGAGTGGAGAAGAGCTGCGGCGGCCTCAGCAACAACCCTCTTGTCGTCATGCCTATTGAACTGAGTGCTGATCTCATCGAGCAACTTTTCATACTTGGTTGAGTCTTGCCGTAAAGTTTGGAAGACCTCGAGGTCAAGGAAGTGCTCCATCCTAAGGACGATCGTAGCAGTGGCAGGGTCGGCGCCAAACTTGTTGAGGAGTTGGGGAATAACTGTCGCTAATTCCAAAGCGGTCTCTTCTTGCGCCTCTGTCACCTCCGGGCGTCCACTCTTCTTTTTGTTCTTCTCAATCTCGGCGGATTGCAGCATCGACATCTTTACTGCGGATGCCAGAACCTCGAGCAGAATAGCTTCCTCAGTACCCTGCGGTCCAACAGCTTTCTTGAAAGCAGTCTCGGTTGAAGCACCGTGAGGCTTGGATTTCGACTTGGAACTGACTGTATGATCGTAGAGCAGGTAGCCTGCCAATAGCTCCCACTGCTTCACGTAGGGGACCTTTTCGAAAAGGACCTGGGAGGCAAGAGAGATTCGCGTGTCTGGAACGTTCGCCTGGGTGACGTCTGCGGCGGTAGCGAGACCTGTGCCATTGTCCTGCTGCTCGCCCTCGACTTGCGCATCAAACGCGGCGAGGTTCTCTGCTAAACATTTGATGTTGACCCATGTACTGCGAGGCGAGTCGTAATCGTCCTCATCGATCTCACCAAATGTCTCCTCAAGCGCATCCTGTCCACCAAGCTCTTCCATCTTGCCTTCGATAGAATCTTCGACGCAAGAGGTGAAGAAGTTGACAACCGCTTTTCTAATTCTTATGTCGCTATCAAAGATGAGCTTGCCGATTGAGTCAACTTCGTCTGGTTCGAGCATTCCGGTGTCCCGTAGTACGTTTATGACAGAGATGGCAGCAACACGGACGGAAACCTCGGCGTCCTTGGTGGAGATCTCGATGAGACGAGGCCGGAAACGATCAATGAAGTGACCCAGTTGTTGCACGTCACGTCTAAAGATGCGTGCCAATTGCCTGAGAACTTCTTGTCGGGTAGAGGCGACGGTGTCTGACAGCATCCAACCGAGATAACGGAGGTACTCGGGCTGCATGAACACTGTGGAAAGACCAATGATCCAAGATCCCAAGGACTCGACACACTCCGTCCTGATACGCGGGTCGATGTCTCGGTATCTGTGAATGAAGGTGGTGTCGAAAAAGTCCTTGATGTGATTGCCGCACAGCTCTCTATTCTCATTGGCCTCGTTGAGAGTACGTTGCATCTCAGCCAGCTTCGCCTTATTCTTTCCGCGCTTGGCTTGCGCAACCTGTTGCTCGATCGCAGTAATTCGGGCGTCGAGCGTGTTTGCGACATCGATAAGCCCGTAGACGAGGGAGAGGATGACAGTTGTCGCGGTGTGGCGGAACGGGCGAAGTGAAGAGGTCGACATGGATGCTATCCAACGGACGAGGTTCTCCATCAAGGTAGCGTCGTTGTACAGGACATCTGTTTCGTGGACACTGCGAACAACGCCCCGGAAGAATCCGGTGAGGAGGTCACGGAAAGCTTTGGTGTTCTTCGCCCTGGAAATGAGGGGGTACTCAGTTACTTGCTCCTGTACCAAGTTAGCTCATTGGTCCGTGGCAAAAGGTTGTTTGTTGTATTTATACGGGCACATGCCTCTTGGAACAGGTCTTGAAGCTCGGTCAGTCGAGCCTGGCAATTATCAGGGTCGCGAATGTCGTCTTCAGTGACCTCGAGGTCACAACCAGAACACTGGAGCACAAGGTTGACAAGCTCCACGACAGCAAGTGCATCATTGGCTTGATATCTGGTCTGCCACTTATCCGCAACCTCGTCCGAGGGCATTCCCGAACCGAAAACATCGGCTATAGACGTGTCAGATAATAGAATCGGCGAATGAGTTCCGGGGTAGCGACTTACCATACAAGCCCTCGGCTTGCCTGTCGGCGGTAGCAATTCTGACGGATTTCTTGGGCCGTGACGGAAGGCTTGCAGAATGCCCAGACGGAGCTACACCGTTGGTCTTTGGTTTCTTGATTGCGGGCTTCCTTGCGCGGCTCCCTTGCGATGCGCCTGATCGCTTCTTTGGTCTGGCGCGGGGCCGGTCTTCGTCACTATCGGCAGCATCGCTCATGGTAGCATCCGAAAGAATGTCATCGTCGTCGTTTCCTTCATCGTCATCATCATGTCTTTTGCGCTTGGGTGCGGTGACTGGCTCCGGGCTAAACTTTTCGGGGGCTCGCACGACGCGTCCAGATCGACGACGCGACGACTCGGGTTCGGGGGAAGCTGTCGCGCTCTCCATGATGTCGCGTAAACGCAAAGGCAAAGTTGGATACCGTCTGAATGCCGACAGTTAATCGCAGCAATAGCGACAATTATTTCGCGCCGATGAGCGAATGTCCGGAGGGGTGGCGCATATGAGGAAAGTTGTCGCGTTGAGTAAGTGCGTTTACGTCGAAGATGTTTAGGTGACGGGCTCTCCAAATTCGCGAGTGGCAGACAGGACACGGACGGGTTGGGGTGTGGTGGATCGAATCGCTGGTCCCTGCCTTGGTGCTGTACGAAGGATGGTGCAGCTGATTGGCGAATGAGCAATGGCCGCCTGGCGCGGAAGGAAGGACGAGACCACGCACCCAGCACCTAAACTGGAAGTCACTTCAGATATGAAGTACTATGGCGGAATACCTACCTTCCGTCCGTATGTACCTTCGGCGCGCTCACCCGTCAGAGAATAAGCACACCTTGATGGAACATGTGTGGCCTACAACCGGCTCATCTGGGTTTTCTATCACAGCGTACACCTAGTATTTGATGCAGACAATATAGCATACAAATGACTTGGTCAGGGGTCGCTCGAGTGAGTAATGGAGAGCGAAAGAATGCAAGCAACTTTACTCGAGGTCCCAATGATAGGCCGTTCTAGGTACATGTCAGGCTTAACCTCAGGGCAGCTCTTATTCTATATTTCCACCCTCTCGGCATAAAGTTATCTCCATAGGAACCTTTATGTTGATGATCTGACATTAGTTTGCCGAGAGAATTTGTTATTCATCGAGTGCTGCATCCTGGTCAAGCTTGACAGGCTGGAGTTTAGAAGCATGAGCTCGCGGGGCGCCGGCGGCAGCACAGTGCATTTTCGATCACTCGCGGCCACACCGTGTTCCTTGACATCAATCAGAACCTCTCATCGAGCAAGCATTGCAGACTCGGGCTGATTTTCGGCAATATCAAGTTGCAGCAAGAACGCCGTATCGCAACCTGTTCATGATCAAACCATCTTTTGACCAAAATCCTGGTATGTGGCCCCGGATGTTGTGTATTTCACAGGATTCATCTCTAATCCTCATCACAGACGAAGAGCAACGCCAACTAATGAGCATGGCTTGTCAAATGTACCCCTAATACGTCTGAACCCAACCAACACCCAAGCCAGCAAAAACTACGATGGAGTCTCCTTTTCCCAAATCATCTTCAGTGGCCGGCGAAGGCGAGATCATAGCCCAGCTCCTGCCCAATGGCTTGTCAGGTCTCAAGGGCATGTCATATCAGTACCCCCTGAAACTCATCTCTCCGACACCGGCAGCCGACCAGAGAAGCGTTCTGGTATTTCTGCTTTCCTACGGCGGTGGACTTGTCGGGGGCGACAGCGTCAATCTCTCTATCCGCACTCTACCGGGATCAAAACTCAGTATTGTCACACAGGGTCATACGAAGATTTTCAAGTCCGCGTCTCCTGACATTGTCACGCGCCAAACGCTCAGCGTCCACATAGAAGATGGTTCCGGCATCTGCCAGTTGCCAGATCCAGTTCAGCCTTTTGATGGAAGCGTTTACGAGCAGACTCAGATATTCACAGTTGCCCCCAACGCTTCTCTGTGTCTACTGGATTGGGTGACGCAAGGCAGAACGGCGCGTGGTGAAGATTGGAGCTTTGTCAAATGGACAGGACGCAACGAAATCTGGCTGGAAAATCAAGTGCCCAACCAAAAGAACCGTTTGCTGGTGCGAGACACGGTCATCCTAGACAGAGACAGCCAAGGCCTAGTAGGGAGATCGCTACGAGACTCTATGCATGGAAACGGCCTCTTTGGAACTTTGATCTTGAGAGGGTCCCAGATGCAATCATTAGGCAATTTCTTCCTCGAAGAGTTCGGTGCTTTGCCTCGCATTGGCGCGAGGGATTTCAGATCAGCCGAGGCCAAGGCCAAGGAAGAAAGCAACTTGACTGAGCATGAATTATGGAGGCTTAAGCGCATAGAGATGGAGACGAAGGAAGGTATCTTGTGGTCGGCTGCGAGAGTCAGGGGATGTGTTATTGTGAAGTTTGGAGCAAGTACAGTTGAGGCTGGCCGGCTGTGGATTGGCATCATGCTGAGTCGAGAAGGCACAGTTGCAAGAGTCTATGGAGAGCAAGCATTGATGTGCGTAAAATGAGGCCTTTCTTCTCCTTGACTAGCTGTATGATATATGGGCATTAGCAAAATAAGCAAATCAGCTCTTCTGACTTTTGTTTGCTCATATGAGACCCCTAATTGCTTTTTTGTACCAATTCGGGCTTGAATGTTTTCAAGTACAGAGTACTGCTTAAGGCCAGTGAGCAGTGCGCACTCACTCAAGTTGAGTCGCATCGAATCTGTGCCTGAATGCGGGGTGAATCAACCCCACCTCTAAGGTAGGTGTGCAACTCAGCGGGACAAGGAAGGCGCCTCTGGTGCTTTATACAAGGAGCATGTTTTGTCCCCCACCACGCTGAGGTAATCGAACATCTTTTTCTCTGGGCGGCGTCTGTGACTCTCCCACCAGACACTAGACACCACCACCAAATACTATTCTTTACCCTGCCATTGTCGCATACCCAACTCGAAAATACGGCAACGTTCCACGATCAGTCACAAAAACGACAAAGGAGATCGTTCTGAGTCCGTTGCCTACATCCCACTGCCCTCAGTCATCATGCCAGAGGGAGCGCCCCCGGCTCGAGGCGCTGGCAGGGGTCGACCCCGAGGGACTAGAGGAAGAGGAAGAGGAGCTGCTAGCAGTGCCGCACCTAGCACCGAGGGACCAAATTCGACTTCGAGACCATCTTCAGCACTGGGAACAGCTTCGGCAACCGCTGTACCTTCCAGAACCGCAACACCCAACCCTCCCGCAACCCGAGGCACTTCAGCCAGCAGATTTCGCCCCAGAGTGGTGCGTAGAGACGAGGCGGCGCGAGACGCAATTGCAAGACAAGAGCTAGAGAAGGACAATGCCAGGGCAAAAGCAGAAGCTCGCGCTCAAGCTCGCTCCCGAGGCCGCAGTCGGCGAGCTCGTGGTGATGCCATGGGTCGTGGCGGTTTCATGTCGCGAGCAGCTGTTGCTAGTGGCCCGTTCTCGCAAATGACAACAGAAGGTGTGTTGTAGGAGAGAATCATGGATTCGATTTTCTGGAACTGACATTGTCTAGGAGGTGGCAGATCCGGCGGAGGATGGGGCGGTGGTGGTGGTGGAGGAGGCGGCGGAGGATTCTTTGGCGGCGGAGGCGGCGGCGGCCGAAAGAGAGAGGGTGGCGCGTTTGGAGAGGCTTCAGGCCATCGCGAAGCACGAATCAACGCCGATAGGCTCGCCGGATATCCTGTCGATCGCGAACCCGACTCTGACGACGAAGAGACGGCGGCCCTCATTGGCGCAAAGCCTGGTAACATTTGGCCCATGGGTATCGCCCGTATCGACAAGAAAGAAGAGAAGAAGACGATTGCGACCTCGGCCGAACTTGAGGCAGAAGAACAGGGCAAGGCCGAAGAGAGCCTCTTTGTCGAAGGCGAAGGATGGTCTGGTGCCATTCCCCCGATGGAAGATGAGACAAAGGTCTGGCATGCGGCACCCAAGGGTGTGGTCCAGGTCAAGGCAGAACCTGGCGGCGAACCAGGTGCTATGGATATTGCGCCGGTCGACTTCAACGCCCACATCAAGTCCGCGACTCCCGAAGCCGAGGAAGAGAAGATCACTCCTGAACCGAAGACAAAGAAGGCAATGGCCGATCCCGAGGTGGAAATGATTACACACGACATGGAGCTTCTGTTGGGCGAACTGGGCACTGTCACCGACGAAAACTCCAAGGCACCCGAGACAGAGGTTGCGAGCAAGGACGGACGTTTATACCTCTTCCAGTTCCCGCCCTTGCTGCCGCCACTGCAACCTGCGACTGCGCCCAAGGTCAAGCCAGAGCCCGACGACGTTGTCATGCTCGACCAGCCGGGCGAAGCTGTCGACCTCACACAGGCGGAAGAGAGCTCTAAACCCAAGGTCGAGGACGATATTGATCTCACAGACATTAACCAGTTGGTCTCCCAGGCTGGAATGATGGGCAAGCTCAAGGTGCGCAAGTCTGGAAAGGTCGAGCTGGACTGGGGAGGCAGAACACTCGAACTCAGCCCGGCTGCGGGCATGAACTTCTTGACTACGGCAGTGATTGTAGAGGAGTCAGACGAAAAGGCGAAACAAGGTGTTCCTGGTGGAGACAGTATTGGCATGGGTAAGATCATGGGCAGATTTGTTCTCGCGCCGACTTGGGGTGACGAGGAAGAGTGGACTGTTGACCCAGAGGATCTTGTTGTTCCCGAAGCGTAAGGCTGTACAACAGTGCTGACGAGAGCATGGGAGAGATGGAATACGTCGTTTGCCGATTTACCCCGCCAGTGATCTAATGCCAACAGATCGGACGGGGGAACATCATAAGCCGCTAGTGGACTTGGCCCCAAGTCTTGTTTGGGAGGTATTGAAAGGATAGACAAAAAAAAGAGATACCCTAGGCTAATTACATTGCCCCAGTTCGGACTGCTCTCAAATGGGACGAACCCGAGGGACGGCGCCGTCCCGTCGGTCTTCCCCACACTCCGCATGTGAGACCGTCCGTGAACACCAACCACCAAGACGCGGTGGCGGCGCTTATGTCTGCAGTATCTCGTCACGATTCTTCAAATGACCATTTCCATGCGGCCAGCTTTCTTTGAAGGTCTGGTCAAACCGATCATGATGAGAAGAGATTGTTGCAACCTACCGGTTTAATCAGTGGAAACAGCAACCCGCCACCGGCGCAACTCATAACCTCTCACAGTCTTACTATCCAGCATGGAGGGACACACTCAGAACAGCTCCAACAACGATGGTATACATGTGATCATCATCGGCGCGGGTCTTGCAGGGTTGGCAACGGCCCTCTCGACCAAACTCGCGAACCCTTCTCACCGAGTGACGATCCTCGAGGCAGTCAAGGAACTGCAGGAAGTCGGTGTAAGTCCTCTCATCCCCTCCCACACACACACACACACACACACACACACACACACATAAGCCCTTCCACGTGTCAGCGCTTCTCAGCTCCAAACTTCGTCGAACTCACAAGAGACAAAATCGCAGGCCGGCCTCCAACTCACACCAAACGCGACGCGCCTCCTCGAAGTCTGGGGTCTCTTCCCGGCCCTCGCCCCCCTCGCGACCGTTCCCTCGACCCTCTCTGTCCACCGCTACGACGGCACCCGCCTCCTCGCCCACGAGCCGCGCCTCCAGGAAACGATCCAGTCCCGCTACGGCCATCTCTTTTGGGGCCTCCACCGCGTCGAGCTCCAGCGCGCCCTCGTCGACCGCTGCGCCGCCCTCGGCGTCGACATTCGTCTCGCTTCGCGCGTCCACTCCGTCGACTTTACCAGCGCGACGGTCACTCTCGACCCGGGATCGGATTCTTCATCACTCTCCTCCACAGTCTCCGGCGATGTAGTCGTCTGCGCAGACGGAATGTGGTCCGCCACCCGCGCCCAATTCCTCAACCGGCCCTCGCCCCCCTCCCTAACAGGCGACCTCGCCTTCCGCATCGCAATACCCATCGACTCCCTAAAGGGCCCTCACAAAGCCGAGCTCGAGGCCTTTATCAAATCCGAAACCGTACACTTCTGGATCGGGCCTCGGGGCCACGGCGTCTCCTACACCGTCAAGCAGGGCCGCATGCTCAACCTCGGCCTCCTCTCTCCCGACAACCTCCCCGAGGGTTCGACAAAAGTCGTCGGCGACGTCGAGGAGATGCGCGGCCTATTTTCCAACTGGGATCCTCTGCTCCGCAAACTGCTTGACCAGGTGGAGAGCGTGCACAAGTGGAAGCTCTGCTGGATCGAGCCGCTGGACGAGTGGGCGAGCAAGGACGGGAGGTTTTTCATGGCGGGGGATTGTTGTCACCCGATGCTGCCCTATCTCGCGCAGGGCGCGAATTCCTCGCTTGAAGACGGCGCCGTGCTTGGCCACCTGCTCGGCAAAGTTGGCGGCCGCGCAACAGAGAATGAAGCTGGAGAGAGTTCGAGCTCGGCCTCGGCCTCGCAGCTCGCTGCCGTGGCGGCCATGTACCAGCGTCTTCGCATGGGGCGAGGCCAGCGCATCGTCATGGAATCCTTTGCGCAACGCGATGACTTCCACATGCCCGACGGCCCCGAGCAGGAGCGTCGCGACGAGATCATGACGGCGTCGCTGGTGCCTGGGGAGGAGCCGCGGCCGGGGTTCCCTTCGCGGTGGACATGTCCTGATATCCAACAGTTTCTATACTCGTATGATGCGTATGAGGAAGCGGAGGCGGCTTACAAACAGGATCCGTTCTAAGTGTATTTAGATTGGGTTATGGCGAGTGTAAGATGCTCGTTCGGGCTTTCTTACTCTATCAAAGATGGCTTCAGACTCTTTATACACGCGCGCGCACACTAAGCGGCGCGGTTTAGTTTAAATCCAGCATACACTAATGATCTATGCTTCTGCCCGCCTTGATTGTCCAAAGACCAAATGCATCCAAGCATCTGAAGGCCAGAGTATCCAAAATCTATACCAGTCTTCTTAATATCCAAGCCACATGAAAGCAGCTCCATACCGTTCTTTTGCTCAGTATGCGATGCGCCCGGATGCACCCCTAGGGCACCCATGAACGCCATGAAACCACAAAGGTAGACATAATCGTATCGATACAATGAATTTTCCCCTCTACTCACCATTATCTATCCCTTCTCCCTCCTCCGAGCCCGACCCGCCCACTATGCTGGCTTTGCGCGTCGAGACCGTCGAGGTCAACCGAAGACACGCTCGGGGAGCCCAGCCTATCCCCCGTCCAGGTGTCGCTCGCTTTATCTCCTTCGATTACGTACATTTCGCTTTTAGTGTTGCTATCCTGTCTCCGGTTCGGTGGTGCCATGTAATCCGAGCCGAGTTGCGTCCCCGCCGTCTTTGAGCCGCCTTGCGCAAACGGCCCCTGGTACCCGAGCCGAGAGTTCGGCCGCGGCATGGGTTCATGTTTTCCTATCCCGCCGAGCTCCAGATCCGTGTCGATGCCGTCGATGCTATCGGTGCCGTAAGGGTCGCGGGGTGCTGAACGGGGCGCCGACCGCGCCGCCCCTGATCTCATTCCTCCGCTAATGTGCCCGCTG